GCCCTGGGAACAAGAGGAGGGAGTAGCATGAGATACAGGGGCAAAAACTACCTGAAGATGAAAGGCAGAGGCTGACTCAGGGTGATAGTGCAGGGTATCCAAGACAAGAGTGGAACTGGAGAAGCTGCCATAATTTGGGCGTGCTGTGTAGGGGCCATAGAGTTGTGAGCGTGGACGCTGAGAGAGATTGATGAGGTCAAGAGCAACGTCTGTAACAGCATCAGTGAGCAGTGGTGGCGAATAAGCCAAGATGCTGGAAGACAGGGAGGCAAAATCTATAGCACCTCTGGAACCACTGAGCACAGTGTATCACACTGCTTAGGCATCCCCCACGGGTGTTGTGAGTTTTCTAAAGACAGACACCAAATCCTTCTCGGACACAGAGGACAAGAAACAATACTCGGTTGGAGATGAAACACATTTCCTGTTGCTACATTAAAGAGGAAGGGTATTAGCTCCTTCCATATTGATTACTATCCTGAATATTCTTTTCTTTTTAACATTATTTATTTATTTATTTATTTTTAGTTTTCAACACTCACTTCCATAAGATTTTGAGTTTCAAATTTTTCCCCCTCTTTTTCACGGCGTGCAATCTAAGTTCTACTTATACATTCATATTAAGCATATTTTCGCATTAGTCATGATGTGAAGAACAATTAGAACTAATGAGAGGAACCATGAGAATGAAACAATAAAACAAAACAACAAAGGAAAAGGAAAGCAAATAGTATGCTTCCATCTGCATTCAGACTCTATAGTTTTTTTCTCTAGATGTGGATAGCATTTTCCATTATGGGTCTTTTGGAGTTGTCTTGGATCCTTGCATTGCTGAAAAGAGTCAAGTCTATCAAAGTCAGTGGCTGTTACTGTGTACAACATTCTCCTGGTTCTGCTCACTTCACTCAGCATCAGTTCCTATAAGTCTTTCCAGGTTTTTCTGAAGTCTGCCTGCTCATCATTTCTTTTTTTTCCCCCTTTAATATATTTTTATTTATTTTACTAAATATTCCCCAATTACATTTTTAATTGTTTAACATTTATTTTTTTTTAATTTTGAGTTTCAAATTCTCCTTCTCCTCTTTCTCATTTCTTGAGAAGTCAAGCAATATATCAATCAAACAAGTGAAGTCATGCAAAATATATTTCCATACTAGCCATACTGCAAAAGAAAACACACACAAACAAAAACCCAAGAGAAATAAAGAGAGTAAAAAATCTGCTTCAATCTGTACTCAGAGTTCATCAGTTCTCTCTCAGGAGGTAGATACCATTTTTCATCATGAATCCTTTGGATTTGTCTTAGATCGTTGTATTACTGAGAATAGCTAAGTCATTTATAGTCGATCACCGTACAATGTTGAAGGTACTATGTGCAGTGTTCTCCTGGTTCTGTTCACCTCACTTTGCAGCAGTTCATATAAGACTTCCCAGGCTTTCCTAAAACCATTGTGCTTATAATTTCTTAATATTATTTTTTAAAATGATATTTTATTTTTTTCCAATTACATGTAAGGACAATTTTTACCCTTCATTTTAAAACATTTTGACTTGTAAATTCTTTTCCTCCCTCTCTCCCAACCTCTCTTCTTGAGACAGTAAGCAAATTTGATATAGGTTATACATGTGTGATCATGCAAAACATTTCCATATTAGTCATGTTGTAAAAGAAGACGCAGATCAAGAAAGAAAACACACACACACACACGTGAAAAATAGCATGCTTTGATCTGCATTCAGACGCTATCAGTTATTTTCCTCTGCATATGGACAGCATTTTTCATCTTGATTCCTTTGGAATTGTCTTGGATCACTGTCTTGATTACAGTTACTAAGTCTTTCACAATTTATCATCACAATATCAATGTTACTATGTAGATATTCTCCTGGTTCTGCTCACTTCACTTTGTATCAGTTCATATAAATCCTTCCAGGTTTTTCTGAAGTTTGCCTGTTCATCATTTCTTGTAGCACAATACTATGCCATTACATTCATATACCACAACTTGTTCAGCCATTCCCCAATGGATGGGTATCCCCTCAATTTCCAATTCTTCGCCACAACAATAAGGGCTGCTATAAATATTTTTGTGCATATGGGTCCTTTTCCTGTTTTTATGTTCTCTTTGGGATACATACCTAGAAGTGGTATTACTGGGCCAAAAGATATGCACAATTTTATAGTCCTTTCGGCATAGTTCCAAATTGCTCTCCAGAATGGTTGCATCAGTTCACAAGTCCACAAAATGCATTAGTGTTCCAATTTTCCCACATCTTCTCCAACATTTCTCATTGTCCCGCTTTGTCATGTTAGCTGAATATTCTTTTTAAAGCCTTCTTGGAGACCTTGGTTTGGTTGTAGGAATTATATTCCTACTACAAAAAGAAGAGAGTTAAAATGAGCCAGACTCTGATTTTCCTGTAGTAATTCTGGGTAGCGGCATGAGCCGCTATGTTAAGACCAAAGGATCATAGGTCTAGAGATAGAAGGGACCTCAGAGGTCATCTGGTCTAATCCCCTCGTTTTAAGGTTTGAAGAAATTGATGCTTCTGGAGATGAAATGACTTACCCAAGGTCACACAGGCATTAAGAGTCAGCGGTAGGATGTGAATCTAGTTCCTCTGATTCCGGAGGTGTTGCTCTGCTCTTTTCATTATAACACGTATACATGGATTACTGAGCATCCTATAAAACTGAACTGAAATTTATGGCTGCTCAAAAGCCTTATTGATGACAAATGATTTACAAGTGCAATTGAATTTGGTGACCCAGACTCATTTGATTCATCTCCTTATCTTGGCCTGTTTTCTACCTGGTACAGTAGGCAGAAGGATTTTCTCTACCATTAAGAGTGGAAGGAAAAAGAATTTATTAAGCACCTACCATGTGTCAGGCACTGTGCAAAGTGCTTTACTAATATCCCATTTGACCCTGGTAAGATTCTAGAAGCAAAGGTGTCAAATTCAGGCTACCACAAGCCTCCTGCAAAACTCTGGAGTGAGGGCCTAAACCAGATTAAAATATAATTGAGACATGTTTAAAAAAATAAATAAAAATATAATACAACATAGCTCGTGTGAATTTGTGGTTTTCTAAGTCAACGTGCAGCCAGCAGGGCTCTGTTTGAGTTTGACACCTCTGCTCTGGAGGATACACTCCACAAATCCAGAAAGGGAAAAACCTAGTTTATCCTGTTCCACCATCCTCATAACATCAGTTAACAATGTTGAAAGCATATATTCTTCCCTGCAGTCAACCTTTTTCTATGCTCTGGGAAAGAACTGCTATACCTGAACTGTAAGCAATCTAATCTCTAATACTTGCCAGGTCTATATGAATAAACAGAAATTTGGGACTGTCAAAAGTTGTTGTTGTTTTTTTTTAAGGGCTTCTTTATTCTATGTTAGCTAGAAATTAAGTGGACATAATTAAGTGGATATCCAGGCATCCTCCAATATTGAAATGTTATCTTTGAGTATACTTAAAGTTGGGGTTAGTCACTCCTCTAATTCATTCTTCCTTAATAATTTCTCTGATATTTGTCCCTTCTACTCCATTCCTATCGTTACCACTTTATTCTGAGGCCCCCTCACCTTATGTCTAGGATACTACAACAGAGTCTTAGCTGGCCTCTCCACCTCTAGTCTCTCTCTTCTTCAATCTAGTTTATACCTTACTTATTTAGTTGCTCTAGAATAGAGATTTTATCACGTCCGTCCTTGCCCCCAAACTTCCAATAGCTTCCTATTGCTTAAAGTAGGGGTTCTTACTGCGACGTTTGTGTTTCTCTGTGTGTGTGTGTGTGTGTGTGTGTGTGTGTGTGTGTGTGTGAGAGAGAGAGACAGAGACAGAGAGAGAGAGAGAGAGAGAGAGAGAGAGAGAGAGAGAGAGAGAGAGAGAGAGAGAGAGAGAGAGAGAGAGAGAGAGAGAGAGAGAGACTCTTTTGGCATTCCAATAAAGCCTAGGCTCAACATCTCAGAATAATGTCTGTTGCCTGCATAATTGAAGGACATAATCCATTTCAGTTAGAGGTTAGTGAAAATAAAGATGTAATTTTTTTCCCATCCAAGTTCATGGACCCCCTAAAATGATAGCCTATAGAAAACCAGACAAACTGAGGGCTTAGAGTCTTCATTGCCCTCTCTCTGTTTTTCTATTCTCTTCTCCCCCAGCCCCCAGTGAGCTGACTGGAGGAAGAAAGACTTTGCATCTATTGCTGGGGGCTGAATTGATTAGATGAAGAGTTTTGCTGCTGGGAGCTGATTAGTGGAATAGCTCTGTGGATTGGAAAAGTTGATTGGAGGATAGAGAGCTCTGTGCCACTTAACAGTGCTGGCTGAGAACATGGAGAGGCTTGTCTGGCTTGTTCTGCCACCTATAGCTTCTAAGAGCCCAGCCAAGTCCTGAAGAGCTTTGCAGATCCCAGGTTTAGGGGAATGGCTTTTGTTATAAATATAATACTACCTTAGACCCCAGTCAAGGAATGTTTTGAGTAGATTAGCCAGAAGCGGCCCCACCCAGCGGGTGATACATGGTACATATTGTTCCCCAAGTAGACCAAGAACAGTAAGGCCAGTAGTCCAGAGTTATAAGCTGTTCCAAGGTCAAGGGTTTCTTGACTCATACATCTTCCCTGTTAGGTTTCTATAAGTTTGTGCTTACTTTTCCTCATGGATACTGGGTGCATTTTGGGAAAGTGTGCCCTAGGTTTATTTGTGGATTATGTCATGATTAGTGTTGCTTTGCATTTGGTTTAGTACTTGTTTCATTATTAAGAGTTAAGAGTGGCATCTTGGCTAATGCCTGAAGTCTCTAGGGAAAGTCCCCGACCTGTAATAGTGGGTACAGGTTGGAGTGATCGAGCCCCACAAAGAGAGAGGGGAATTGACACCTAGCCTACTTCATGCTGATTATAAACTGGTAAAACCATATATCACTGAGTTATTTTTATTTTGTTTTTATATATCACTGAGTTTTTAAAAGCTGTTTACTTTTCTAGGGCCCTAGAGAAAGCTTGAAAGACGTTCTCTCCCACCAAAGCAGCTCTGTTCAAAATCTGGGAAGAAATTTTCCACAACTTGTAGAAAATTTGAACTGAGTGATGATGATATTGACTAGACTAATGTATCCTCTACGTCTCCAAATACTTGAAATGGAAAATGAAAAGGTAAAGTTGTGTTATCAGTAACCTCCAACATTCAGATTTACATGATGTTGAATATCTTTTCTTTTTTTTCTTTTTTTTCTAGATTTATGTAACACTTTAAGGTTTGCAAAGCACTTTATAAATATTATTTCATTTCATTCTCATAATAACCCAAGGATGTATGTGTTATTGTTATTATTGTTATTATTATTATTCCCATCTTACAGATGAGGAAACTCACCAGGATAAAGGGAATAGGTACTCATTTTTCATGGTGAGTTGACTGAATGCCTTGTGATCAGTTCAGAGGCACAATCCTCCATCCTTCCATAATGGAGGCCTTTGCTGGTAATGTGGAGGGATTCATGGTTATCTTTTTCTTGGATATATTCAGGGAGAACCTCTGTATGCAATCTATAAATTCCGTTTTCTACATACTCAGTTTCCCCACCATTCAAGAGATAGAGGAGTTTCTTTTTGAGGACTAATCTTAAATCATATTCCTAATCCTAATTAAATTTTAGAATAATCTCTTAGTTCATTAAATCAGATAACCAGGGACCACAGTCAATCACCAAGTATTTATTGAGCATCTGGTATGTGCCAGGCATCATGAGAGGTCCTAGAAATACAAAGACAGAAACAGAATTGTCTCTGTCCTCAAAGACTTAACATTTTATCTGGGGGATTGTGTTGATTTACAAGTAAATACAAAGTCCATGCATGGTGAGTGCAATATTGGAAGGGGGTCATAATGGCTAAAGTGCTAGACTTGGAGCCATAAAGACTGGTTCATATCCCACTTTCAATGTTCACTAGCTGTATGATGCTGGACAAATCACATAAGCTCTCTGAGACTCAGTTTCGTCAGTGAAGTGAGATTAAGGGGTTAGATTAGAAGACTTCTAAAATCACTCCTAGGTCTAAATCTCTCTGTAATCCTACATGTAACATTGGTGGGGCACTAATGGAGGGTGGGACCACTGGGAGAGGCCTCAGGTGTTAAATAGCACCTACACTGGAGTTTTGAAGGGAACTAAGGATTTTAAGAGGCGGAAGCCTAGATTCAAGAGGGCAGACAATGAAAATGACATTCTAGATGTATATAGGTGTTGGGTTATGTCCCCCATGTCTAAGACTTGTCAATTAGGCTTTCCCGATATCACTGGCACTTATTCCTTTCTCTCTCTTCACACTCCCACTGCTTCTGGTCCGGCTCCTCATCACCTTTTGCCTGCACTGAGATAATGGCCTCCTAACTGGTCTTCCTCCCTCCAGGCTCTCCCTTCTCCAATACAACCCAGCTGACTTGGGATAGTTAAGTGACCATACACCGGCCAAAATAATCTGCCTCGGACACATGACTTTCCTGCTTAAAATCTTCTGTGGCTCCCTAGTACCAGGAGGACAAAACACAGATTCCTTCAAATGGCGTGTAACACCCTCCACAACAACAATCTGGCTCCATCTAGGTCTGTTTCCTATGACTTCCTTTTAGATACCCTACCCTCCAGCCAAGTTGGACTACTAGTTAGTTAGCTGCTACCTCTCCCACATCTGTGCATTTGTACAAGCTGTCCCCATGCCCAGAAAACACACCCTTCTTACCTCTCCTCTGAATTTTTATCTTCCCTTCAAGGTTTAGCTCGGGTACCTTCTCATGTACACTTTATCCCCACCCGACCAGATACGAAGTATAAGCTCCCTGAGGGCAGGAATGGCTTCATTTTTGTCTTTGTAGTCCCAGTGCCTACCTCTGTGTTTTGTTCATAATAAGCACTTATTAATAAAACAACTTGAGCCAAGCATTTAGACTCCGCCCACTTTCACACTCGCCCTATAATAACCCTTGATGGTCAGAGCCAGCTAGGCCAATAGACTTGTCCTGTCTTCCTGTCGGGGATTCAGGGTCTACTTTCTGCCTTGCGGTTTCTGCTCCCAACAACTGATGCCCACAGAACATAGAAATGACATGAAACCTTCCCTGCTTCTCCCCACTAGAAGTGACTCTTCTGCCTCTGAGTCTCTCAGGCTGCTCTATGAGAACTGTCCTATGTTTCTAGCTTGTATTATAATTATCTGTGAATATGCCTTCTCTTCCTACTCAATTTTAAGTTCCTTATAGAAGGCTGGACCCAGAGTCAAGAAGATCCGAGTTCAGATCCAGCATCAGACACTTACTTGCTGTGTCACCCTGGACAAGTCGCTTTCCCTCTGTCTGTCTCAGTTTTTTCAACTGTAAAATGAAGATAATAAAAGCGTGTACTTCCCAGGGTTGTCGTGAGTATCAGATAAAATAATATTTCAAAGCACTTAGACCATTGCCTGGCACAGTGCCTGGCACACATTAGGCACTTAATAAATACTAATTTTCTTCCTTCCTTATGGTAGATACTTAATGAATATTTGTTGAGTTGAATTAATGTCTCCTTGGAAGAACAGCAAATTGTGTTCAAAGGTATACTGAATACAATACGAGCCTCCTATGTCACCTCTACACCACAGGCCCCATAGTCTTATTTTTCTTATGTGATTCAGATACCACAACAAAGAATCCAGAATAATAAGGTCTGTGCCCTTTCTTATAAGGGGAAGAAAACCCTATGGGAATACTTGGCATCTGTATTGCTCTTGACAGCCACTGACTCCCTCTCTGTCACTCATTTTTCTTTATGGATTCACTAGCCCTTACCACAGGACATGAAAGAGATATGTAGGATGCAGGACCTCCAGGAAGGAACCCTAGAATAAACTGACCTCCAGATTCCGTAGGAATTTTAACTTCGCTAAGACAGGACACCCCTGCCTATTCTGAATCTTGATTCTTTCTTTCAATACATTTGCTATGCCTACTAGCTTTGCACCACCTACAAATTCAATAAGCATGGTTGTTATATCTCCATTGACATTAATCATCCACCAAGCTACCTAACTGCCTCTTTTGCCTTGTGTTTCGTTCCCTGTGAACAGGTGACTTAACAGTGATGCTGAGATGGATGTTTCTAGCCCAGGTGGCTGGCCACCTTGTGAACTTGGGAGGACCAGAGTCAATGAGAGATCTGGGTACTGGAAACAAGAGGTCATCACTATTACTATGTCCTTTCTCAGAGGAGAAGATAACCATCAACTGAAAGATGAGCCATGCATGCCAGGCCTCCAGAAGATATAGAACTTGAACGATTGACTTGGACAGTACAAATCTGTGATGGAGGGGAAATATGTTGTCCCACAAGCATTCTTGGAATCTTTTCTATCTCCTGCAGAATAGAATAGGAATGATGAGTTATTATTCCATGATTGAAATATTTGTCAATATGTGCTCATCAGTCGTTTGGTTTGGTTTCGAGCATTTATTTTGTGATGGCAGAAATAAAGACCAGTTCTATACCAGAGATCTAATATGTTGTACATTGAGTAATTTTTCTATAAGGGATCCTGTTTACTCCTTTTGGAGAGATCATAGCCATAAGGAATGTCTTAAGAGATTTCCCCCAGGGTCCCCAAGGAGGAAGCATAATGAGCTAGAGATTGTGAGAAAAGACTGATCTCCTGCTTTTTGGAGATTGGGCTACCCCAGTACTGAATCCAGTCTAGAGCTGGAGCCCCTTATTGGAGAAGACTTCCCCTCTGGCCTGCAATTAACACATATAATAGTGCTTTGTAATATTTGTGTTATACCAATGCCAGCCATCATCATTATCATTAGCTTGATGATGTTGGGATGAGGGAGAAGGTGTGTATAGGTATGTAAGATCACAGCTCTAGAGTTGGAAGGAATATTGGAGATCATCTATTTTAATCCTCTCATTTTACAGAGTAGGAAACTGAGGCATAGAGAGGTTAAATGACGCCTAAGCTCACGCAGGTAATAAGCATCAGGAATGATATTTAAGATATAAACAAATTTAATGTGTATAGTTTCTGGTCTTTCTTAGCACCAAAAGTTGGAGTCATCTCCTTTTCCCTGTCCAATAGATCTCCTAAGATTCCCAGAGTACAAGGCCGTGGGTGATTTTTCTGGATTTACTTTTCCCTCTCAACAATCAACCTTGTGAGGTAATGAGCATCCTATTTCTAGAAATATGCAGACAGAGGGCATATCTGTCAAAGGTGTTATAGAAAACATTCCTACATGTGAGCAGGGTGTTAGATTTAATTTAATTTTATTAAATTGGATTTAAATTTCTTTCCCATTCTAAGAAAGAATGATTCTATGAGCAATGTTTAGTTCTGTCTGAAGATGTTGGTGCCTTATGTCCTGGTTGAAATTTTTGCTTGATAGAAGATATTGGTGCCTGTATTCTGGTTCATGAGTTTCTGAACTGGACTTGGTGGCTAGCTTATATGCATTAACCAGTTCTATACCAGATCAATTTGATTCTAGCTGGTTCCTGAGGTCCCTTAATCAGGGTCAGCTCAGGGCAAATTTGTGAAATGGGCAAAGTTTCCAGGGCTTCCCTCTTCCCTTTAGTGAGAACTACAGCATTCTTCCTCAACCTATTATCCTTTTATGACTTCTATTCTCTCTTCCCTCCCAGTCTCTCATCCACCACCCTTTTCTCCCCACCCCAGGCTCTCTCATGGTACTCAGGACCTTGCGCATATTGTTACCTGGGCTATTAAGTGTTATAGCCTTTGGACTTTTCCCTTTCCTTTCTCCCCATTAGAAAAAAAAATTACCCTGTGTCCTATTTCTTCACAGCCCTGCTAAGTGACTGGCCAATAAATAGGTCCAACTATTTTGAGTTCATTCAATTTGATTAAACAAATGTTTATTATTTTCAAGACACTGAGCTATGGGCTTGAAGCACAAAGATAAGACAGATCTTATTCTCAAGGTTCTAATCTATTACGGGAAAAATACACATAGACAATTAAGGTAAAAAGAAGAGTTTGATAAACACAAAATATAATGGTGTGAGTGATGGAGTTGGAGTCAGGAAAACATGGGTTCAAATCCCACCTTACTAGACGTGTGAGCATAGACAAATCATTTAACCTCTGAAACTCAGCTTCTTCATCTGCAAGATGAGCAAGTTGGACTCTAAAGCCCTTTAAGCTCTAAACCTATGATTTTAAAGTGGAAGTCCAGGCAAAGGAGAACAAGAAATTTGAAGACGAGGAGTTCACTTTCAGGAGTGGCTTATGCAAGACAACATAGAGGAGATGGCAGCTGATCTTGGTCTTGAAGGAAGAGAGGGGCTTCAACAGATGGAAATATTGTGATGGCATTTGGAAGTCCCCTTCAGACATGGATAGAAGAGAAGCATGGGGAATGAGGAATTCCAATTTGAACAAAATTTAAAATACAGGAAGAAGAATAGTAAGAGTTAAAGTTGGAGTCAGATTATGAAAGGTCTAGGATTAGGAGTGTACACTTCATTTGTTAAGCAATTGGGAGTCACTAAAAGTTTTTTTTTTAAATAGAAGAGTCAAATGATAATAAAGCCAATGGCAACAATAATAGCTAACATTTACATAGCACTTCAAGGTTTGCTAAGCTCTTAAATATATTCTCTCATTAGGTCAGAGTGAAACATTAGGGTTAGTATGAAAGACGAACTAGAAAGAAGATAGACTAGTGGTAGAGAAACAAGAAGATATTAAAATAATCTAGGGGAAAAGAGATGAAGACTTGAACCAGGGTGGTTACTGTGGGAATTGAGAGCAAGAGATAAATGTAAGTAATATCATGAAAATAGAATGGACAGGGCTCAGCAAATGATTTAATGTGGGGGTGAGGAAGACGGAAAAGTCAAAGATTCAAAAACCTAGTGATCTTTCCATCCTCAACACTCTAAGCCTTTGGCTGCAAGGAAACAAAAACAGAAATTATGATTAGGAGACTATTTGGGGAAAAAATAATGAATTCCACTTTGGACATATTGAGCATGAACTACCATGGGGAAGATATCCTGGGGTGATTGTTAAGACCTTGAAAGCTGGTAATAGTTTATTATGTTATCCATTAACATTTAAACTTTAATAGTTTCTTTCAATGCCTTAACAAAAAGAAAGAATAATAGAGTAATTTCAGGCATGGTCAAAGGACAATGAGTAAGATAGTTATAGGTAGAGTGGTCTTTCCAATTAAATCATCTATTAAATAGGCTACTGGCCCTAATCCCAGTAGCTTGACACTCTTGGGTCCTAATAATAGGTTTCATGTGAGTGAGAATAGGTGTATGTAGTTGTACCTACATTTTTAAACTTGTTTGTTTGAATTAAAAAAAGTCAAGGGAGAAACTACCACATGGTGCCTAGCAGTTAATTTGATTAACTTTCTAACTCTCCAAACAATTATTTGGTGCCAGAAATGGGTGTTGATGAGAGAATGTTGCCCTGCTGGAACACTGGGCATTTCAGAATATGGTTTACCCAAGGTTAGATAGCTATGTGGGTCCTCATGTACTCTGGGAAGAATAGGAAAGGAGCCATATAAGAGTTAGACCAGGACATGAAGGAGATGGATGAGATGGTGAGAGAGAGGGACAGGGAAAGTGTTGAGCAAAGTAACTACAGTGTGTCTGTGACAAGAGAAACACCACTAGGAAGACAGCCACCAGTGAGCACAATCAGGGAAGAAGAGCCATTGAACTGTAGGATTGGGAAGGCAGTAACCATACAGAGAGCAGCAGCCTCTCTTTCCCTCTGAGGTTTCCTACAGGCAGCAGCAAAAGCAAGGCTCCTCAGGACCTCAGGACTGCTGATCCTAAACTATGGCCATGGCACGGATCGTATTGACAGGAAGGAGAGCAAGACAGCAAAAGTTCTTCAAGACAGAGTAAGGTAGTTCGAGGAGTATGATGTTACTGGGTGGTTTAAAACAATTACTGATGCTCCTTTTCTCTTTTCGTTTTCTACATTGCCACTACACATACACACAGATTCTCCCTGAACAACGAAGTACAGTCACATAAACAAATCCACACATTGGCCACATCTGCACAAGTGCGCCTCATTCTGCACCTATAATCTACCACCTCTAAACCAAGAGACAGAAGACATATTTCAGCATTGGCTTTCTGAAATCATAAGTGGTCCTTTGCTGCATTTTGGTGGCTTTTCCTGTAGATCTGTGTCTGTAATCCACTATGTTGCATGTGTTCCTAGGGAAAATGCACCCAGGGATCAGAAAATGCCAAGAAGTTTTGGGAGATGATGAATTGATGTCACAAGGTTAGTGACAGTTCTGTTCTAGACTACACCTTCTGAATCTTTCCTTAGTCCCTTGTGTACCCTAGATCAGAGGTTGAGGAACCTTGACACTATCCATGTGGTCCTCTGACCATACCTTAGCCTTTTCTATTTCTTCAATAATTTTCCCAAACCAGTGAATAATTTGGCTAATTAAATTAGGAAGCTGCCTGTTCTCAAGCGTGTTATTTTGGCACGTGATCCATTTGACAAAGCAAGGCAGTGAATAACATATACCAAACTGTGATTTTTGTAGGCAAACATCACCCAACTGTTTTATTATTAGTTTACCTTGGCAATACCTCTCTATTATGTAATTATGTGGTATTTCAGACCCATATTTACCTCCATCCCACACAAACCTTATGTTACTAACTGCCATATTGAGAAGGACAAACTCTCTTAATTCTTCCTGAACATAAGAAAATTCTCATGGGAGATCAGACACGAACCAAGTTCAGATGGCAGAATCAAAAGGTGGGAGAGCTGGGTGTGGTTAGGGTGTGGGGAAAAGGATTATAAAGTTAAGGAAGTGACTAGCGGGAGGCAGGCAACAAAGAAGAGCCATAGGGAAGCTTACTAGTGAGTTCCCAATTAGCAGTCAAACAGGCCAAAGTAGACACTCCCCATTCAGAAGGAAAAAAATGAGTGTATATATCAGAAATAAGAGAAAGAACTGAGAAAAGTCAAAGCTGGTTCACTGGAAGGAATCAAGTTCAGATCTGAGTAAGGAATGCCATGGATTAAAATAAACTTTTTGGACATAGTTCAAGAAAATTTCTGGCCTGCTAGGTCATACCTCTCAGAAAAGAACAGGAAGCTGGAAGTTCTCATGGCTACAGGCAAAGAAGAATGTTGACTGAGAAAAGAAAGATGAATGAATAGAACAGGATTTTGTTTTTAAATGCTCAGCAACCATTTACCAAGTCAACAAGTATGTACCTCCAATCTCCCCTTTCTCTTCCCAATGGAGTTGTTGCTGAGGTAGGCAGGAAAGAAATACTTCAAAGGTAAATTAAAACTTACCTTTCCCCAGAGTAGGTTTTACCCTGGATTTCCTCATTTTTGTTAACAGCACCATCTTTTTTCCCAGTTACCATGGCTTGAAATGTTGAAATTTTCCTTAACTACTCTCTTCCCATCTCATTCATATATCCAAAC